CCAGACTCAGAAAGACAATGTTTTTTCTCATATGTAGGATCTAGACCTAAAACAAAGGACATGAATGTAAAAGGGAGACAATTTGATGGGAAAACCAGCAGGTTCAGGAAGGGCGGAAGAAGAGGGTAGTGGGAGTTTACATGATTGAAATACTTTACATAAATGTATGAAAATAGAATAATAAAACCCATTTGAAATTAAACAAAAGGAGAGGTTAAGAAAGAGTTATAGAGGGGGTGGTTTTAATAAAAGCACATTATATGCCTGTATGGACATGTCACAATGAAATCCCTTTGTACAATGAATATATACTATTAAAAAGATGAGTACATTAAATTTACACATATTAAACTCTTATATCAGTTAAAACTAAATAAAACCAAAAGAACTCCAATTCATGAAGCAGATTTTCAGCATATCTGTTTTTCAACAAGAAGAATTCATGATTACTAAAAAATTTCTATATTTCTCTATACTAAGTCTCTATACTAAGTAGTATGAGGAGCACTTTATAGCCTTGATTATATTTAAACTAAATTAATGCTAACATATGGTAGACCACATTTCACAAATGAAAATACTATATATACAAAGGTTAGGTAGCTCATCCAATGACATGTGGTTAGTGATAACACAGAGGGAATTTCAACAACTGTGCTCTCAATCACTATACTAATATCTTTTGCAGGACCTTCTTGTCCTAAATTTTTCTTCAAAACTTTTTCTGTGGCATGTAGAAGACTAAAATAGATCTCTGTCGCTCACCCTGTACCAATATCAACTCAAAGTAGATCAAAGACCTTAAAATAAGGCCTAAAACTGAAACAACTAAGGAAGTGGTAGGAAATACACTGGAACATATAGGCATAGGGAATGATTTCCTAAATAGAACTCAAATGGCTCAGCATCTAAGAGGAAAAAATGGGACTTCATCAAACTAAAAAGCTTCTTCGCAGCAAAAGAAACAGTCACTGCCCACAGGATGGAAGAAAATCTTTGCCAGCTAGATTAGGTACTAATATCCAGAACCTACAGGAAACTCAAAAAACTGAACCCCCAAAGAATCAACATCCCAGTGAAGAAATGGGTACATATATTATACAGGGAATTCTCAAAGGAAGAGGTACAAATGACCAATAAATATATGGAGAAGTGTTCAACTCCCTGGCTATCAAAGAAATGCACTAAGAAACTACACTAAGAGTTCACTAAGATTTCATATCACCCCAGTTAGAATGGCCATATTCAAGGGAAAAGCAACAACAAATGCTGGCAAGAATGTAGCAAAACGGGAATCCTTATTCACTGTTGATGGGAATGTAAATTAGTACAACCATTATAGAAAGCAATATGGAGATTCCTCAAAAAGGCTAAAGATAGAACTTCCATATGATCAGTAATACTACCCCTGGGCTATACCCAAAGGAACATAAGTCAGGATACAATAGAGATACTTGCATGCCAATGTTTAGAGCAGCACTATTCACAATACCCAAGCTATAGAAACGACTCAAATGAATGAATCAAGAAAATGTGGCATATATATACAATGGACTTTTACTCAGTCATAAGGAAGAATAACACCATGGGGTTTGAAGGTAAATGGATGCAACTGGAGGACATCATGTTAAGTGAAGTGCGCCAGGTTCAGAAAGACAAAGGCCACATGCTTTCTCTCATATGTGGAAGATAGATCCAAAGATAAACATATACACAAAAACGAGCATGACTATATACAAACTCATATGGAGAACATGTTTGTAATTATGGAACTACTTATGGAACTCAGGGAAGGACAGAAAGGAAAAGAATGATAGAATATTAACAATATCATAAAAGTAACATCTGTGAAGGTAGAGGATATAACAATAGGTATTGAAAGCTGTTGAAAAATGGGGGTGGGAGTGAGGGGGTAAAGGGAGAGTAATGGAAGGGGTTGAAGGGACCAAAGTAAAGCATACTCACAGGAGAGGATACATCAAGAAATCCTTTTGAACTTTGACTTAGGAATTAATAATGAAAGACAGGACTATAAATTGGTACAGTGAAGGGAGGGTTCTTGTGGAAGGGGGAAGGGGGACCAAAGATATTAAGTTGAGGGAATATGGTTGATGTACTTCTTATACCTATATGAAATAGAACAATGAAACCTCTTGCAATTGATTAAGTGGGGCATGGAGGGGGTTGAGGAGGAAGATGGTGGGGGCAATCTAACCAATGTACAATATAGGCCTATTTGGAATTGTCACAATGAATCCTCCTGTACAATGAATATATCCTAATAAAAAAAAACTTTTTCTGTGGCATATTGCATGAGCATTTTTTTTTTTACTGTATGCTGAACATAAAGCATTTTTTGGTTTTTATTGGCACTTTGGTTGTTCTTCATATAGGACAGTCTTGACCAACATTATTTCAGTCAGTTACAGTAATAACCTTAATACCTATAGTGACTATCAGAAACTCATTCATACACTCATACTAACTTCCAATATCTTTGTAATTAAAACATGTTTCATAGAATTTATTAGGATTATATTTACTAACTTTCCCAATAACATACATCAAAATGAAATGAAACCAACTCCAACTGACTGCACAATCCTTATTACTATGTCAATGCACAGTATCTCCACATAAAGTTGGAGGTAAGATTAGAAAGGTGAACTGAAACATTCATTTAACTAACTATATAATTTTTACATGATAGCCTTAGAGACCCTAAAAAGTTTAGAAGTGTGGCAGTGAAATGTTGAAAGCAGTATTTCAGGAAAATGTTTGATACTGGTATGCAGGACACCAGAGGAGAAAGAAAATGCCAAATAAAACATCTGAGAAACAATAATCAGGAGTAAGTGTAAAAGACATTTAAAAACAACAAGAAAAAATAGCAACTATGAAATATTGGATATTTGGCTAACTAGAACAGCAGAACGTATGAATCCCACTAAAACATAACTACCATTTCATAATCACATCCGAAATTTGTAAAAGACACATACACATGCCATTTCCCAGATTAGTAATCAACTGGGAATTCAATCTCAACTCATTCTGCATCCACTTCCACACACTGGAAATGCCCTCCATGGGGTCCCTTCTTTACCTTCATGAAGCTAACTGCAGCACACCTCCTACTGTAACATACAAACACATAAAAACATACACACATACACACACACACACACACACACAGTTCTTGTGACTCTATGTTTTGTGCAGTTTCTCTTACAAAAAGGACAATCAACTCATTTATTGAGCACCCACTGTTGGCATCTTCATCATCTCAACAAATCTTTAAGACAATCCTCTGGAAGTAAATTATTTTCCTTACTTACAGAGAAAGAAACAGGGCTGACAGAGCAGCTCAAGTGGTAGAGTGCCTGCCTAGCAAGCGTGAGGCCCTGAGTTCAAACCCCAGTATAGTAAAAAAAAAAAAAAAAAGTGATAAAGTAGGGCTCAGGAAGTTGATCAAGCACCAAAGTTGGGAAAGAAAAGGGAGATAAAGAGAGAATACTACTTTTATTTCATATAATTTAGGGGAAGAACATGTTCAAGGTATACTGTATGTATGTATGGAATTATCACAATGAAATCCCCTTGTATTATTAATGTATGTTAATTAAAAAATAAAATTTAAAAGGATATTTTAATTTAATATATTTTGCTATTTATAAAACACATTAACATTAATTATTTCACCTCATGCTAAAGATGATTCTGCTCTCAGTGGGAGAACTTTTTCAGGGATCACTCGTTAGATAACATTATATAAAGCTACTAGTCCATACTTAGGTATGGAGATGTCTTTCTCCCAAAATACCAGCTTCCTTAATGCTCCCTGTAATTGGCAAGATCTCTATTTCCCTGAAGAGTGTACTGAGTCATCCCTTCTTCAGAAACCAATTTTAAATGTTCATCCCATGTATGAAATCATACCCTTGGAAAGACTAAGCGTGGGCAGAGAAATAACAAAAGCAGCTGATCTATATCCAAGACATTCTTATCTGTCCAGTGGAGAGAAGCCCATCCTTGTTGACATTAACTTTTTAAGTAATTCAAAGACACCTCACAAACCTGATTTGGTACTAATGCTTGGAAGCAGCATTATCTAAAGAGTGAAGGGACAGGTGTGCCCATTGATTTGTTTTATTCACAGAGAATATTCTAAATTATGTCCCTTTCCTCACAAAGAATTTGCACCAAAGGTTTATCCCAAGTGATTCTGAAGACAGTCCAATTGAAATTTCTTTCAAAAGCTTGGCTATTTCTAACCAATTATCTTCAGATACAAAAATACCTAAGAAATTCTGGGGAAAATCACAACACTATCACTATCCATGTAACATTTTTATCTTCTCTTTCAAGACCAGGAAGGTATTTTATTGTTGAGAAAGAGAGTGCAAGAGCAGAATGTGTGTGTGTGTGTGTGTGTGTGTGTGTGTGTGTGTGTGCGTGTGCGTGTGTGTGTGTGTTGTGTTGTGTGTTGTGTGTTGGGGGAAGGGAAAGGAGTTATTTTACTATAATAAACAGGAAGGTGAAATCCTGAGAATGCTGGCATGGGGTCACTAGCTTTATCTACAGATAAACACTTGTACAAAACAGATAATGGCTTGTTTTGCCCCTATTTTACATATATTTCCCCCAGCTCACCAAAATGACTGTCTTCAAAGCCTACGTCCATTATTCCCTTACTGTCTTCCCTGCAATCGAGTTCTCTGAATAAATACAGGGGCTGAGTTACAATTAAAAATAATGAGACCCTACAGGGCCAATGTCCTTGCATGCAATAAAAGGGTGTGGACTAATTGCAGGAGCAGAGATTTTTTTTCCTTCATTTTGCTTCACTTTGATTGGTGGATTGGCACTTTAAATAAAGGTTTCTGATCATCCTTGAATGAGATGTACAGAGCAAGTCCCAGGCACAGTCCAGAAAAAAATTACTCTTCTTTTCTTAGAACTATCTTGATTGGTATCATCAGGCCCTGAGAGCACAGTGAATGTCAGGATCTAAGGTAAAATGTGATTTTATGATTTCCATGTTTCCTGTAAGTTCTTTTCTCCTATCTCCAGGCAGCCTTTATAAAGAAGATTTATCTTCATTTGTTACCAGATGCTGAATAATAGCTTATTGTGATCCATTAGTCTGTTCCAGAGAAGACATGACTACCACCTATCCAGCTAAGCAGAAAGATTTATCTATAACCCTTTTTAAATATTTGTGATTATTAATCCAGTGACAAACTTAGAAAAGTACAGAAGATGAGCAAATCTCTTTGCTATTTAGATTTCCATCCATGTAAGACTAAAGAGCATTTTGAACTTACAGAATAAAGAAATAATTCATTTTAGGAAGGAAAACTGAATTTAGGGGTATATTTTTCACAACTATCAAAGAAAATTAAAATATTCAATTACTTTAACTAGAAAAGATAGTTTTGCCATGGTTGTATGGATAACCTAAATATCAAATGATATGCCCTATATATCTGCAAATGCAGGTCTGTTAGGAATGATTGTTGGTTGCATTACATTATAAGTGCATTTCAAAATTTGTCTCAGAAGTTAGGCACAGTGTAAACTATGAATGGTATTTGACATTCCAACATCTTATTTCACTTTTGAAATTCACAGCATTTAAAGAATATCCATGAGGCTATATCTAACTATTCAATTAAACTGTAGCTCCATTAAAAGGTCCTTAGATATTAATTGCTTGTCAAGTCATTCCAGGAACTATTAAATACAATCAGTTGTTTAGCAATATTTTGGGTTTTATCATTTTTTAAAAATCTGATTGTTTTGGACAAACAGAGACATTCATTTTTTAAAATGTCCTTTAATCATTCTGAAGTAAAAATTCATCTAATTTAATTTTCCAACTCAATTGTATTTTAGATTCCACTTTTCAAAATGAAGGACCTGATACTGTTCCTGTGCCTTCTGAAAATTAGTTTTGCAGTGCCGGTAAGTCTAACTTCCAAAGTGTCCTAGGCTCCTTGAGGGTTGGACATCAAGCAATCCTGAAAGGACATTAGCTGAGAGCCTATGCATGGACTCATTTACTTTAATTCAGTAGTATAACTCCTAGCAAATCAAAAGTCATACAAGCCCAGATTCCATTCTTACCATCTAAAAGCATAAATCAAATACAATTTTAATATTCCAAACAATATTTAAAATATTTCAAAGACAATTTCTAAGTATTATTCTACTCTTTGACAGTTAATAGTCTCCACAATGCCATGGTACAATTTTATTATCAATTCCTTGTTATCATGAAATTGAATGGAAAGAGGAAATTTCTCTGAAAAAAGTACAGTACATTTTCTTCATCATATAAAGGACAGCATTAGTCAAATTACTATGGTTACCAAATGATCTAGATAATTCCAGTTAAAGCTAGTAATTAACTAACAAATTTACTTCATAGAGATGACAGCTCTAAAATATATGACAATGGGGCTAACTGTATGTTAGTCCCACACCTGACCCATTCTATTATCCACTGAAAGTGCTCTTTGAGTACTGAACTACTTCAACCAGGAGTATGCCATTCTGCTATCACCAAATGTTATGTAGAGGCTACGTAACAATACCTTGTCTCCAAAAAAATCCAATTTGTTCCAATTTCTACTCTTCAATTCTCCATTTTTCCATTGCTATTTGTGTTTATTAACTTGTAAAAATATTAGAATTGTTTAAAAAGAGAAATATCTTAAATTTTTAAAAGCTAACTATAAATATAGTTATATTTTTGAACAGCTTTTAAATGAACACTTTAAGTATAATAGTATAGTACTTCGTGCTAGAATACTTTTTATTTAAGGAAACATACTTTTAGTACAATCTAAAATATAAATCAATGGTGTAATACACAAAATAATCTTTCACTAAAGATGATGGAGGGCTTGTTGAAGCCTTTTGAATGAGAAGCAAGCTACAATTTGCACATTATTTTTTTCAATTCCATGATCCCACACCATATTCCAGAAAACAAAAGCATACAGATTTGTGGAAAACACAAAAAAAAAACTCAGATTATTTTTATGCTTTTTATATGATAATGTTTTAAGAACATCAAATACTCTCAGTTTTATATTTTATTGCTTTATTTTACCATTCATTGTGTTTAAGTCAAAATTTGCTTTTAAAGCAACATAGCATTAAAATGCACACAAAAGATAGATTATCATGTGGAACCAAAATTATTAAATATTACATTTCTCCCAAATAACTTAAATTCTTCTTCATTCTATCAAAAAGACCAAATCATTTGAGTAATCAATATGGTGGCCTCTCAGCTAGCCCTTAGATAGCAGGGTAACTTTCTATTCCCAGAATGCATTTAAGAGAGTTTCTTTCCAAGAAAAGTCAAAATTATTCTTATTTCCACTTAGGCATTTCCTCAGCAGCCTGGGACACCGGGTATAGCACCACCAGGCATGGCTAGTTTGAGCCTTGAGGTATGTAGTACTAGAGTTTTTACCAATCACCTTTATATTAGTATGCCCCTGATTGTGGAGAGATATGATGAAAGTCAGAAGTACGCGGCTATTATCCTGAGCAGTCCTAAAGAAGTTAATGACACTTATTGGAGTTTTAACTTATAACTCTTGGGTGTTTAAAGTTTTAGAACATCATCTGTACATGAATCAAAGCAATACTAATAATAATTAATATATGCTATATATACACATTAATGCAATTACTACATTAATTTAAAATATTGTTATATAGTCACAAAGAGTTTATAAAAAGCCCTGATGTTCATAGTATCTTACATAATAAAGTTCTCATGAAGAAAACTTATTATACAAAATTTTTTATCAGAAGTTTATAAATAGCATTATTACACTATGTATGATACCTCCTGTATAACCTGTATTTGCTTTATTATAGTTCTCATAAATAATGTATCTTCTGTTTAGAGATTCTCAGCAAAAAATAGAAATTTTTGACAATATCAGTTAAAAGCTGACAGTTATAAATAGAAGGATATTTATGAGATCATAAATTTCACTATTTTTCACAAGGTCTCACAAAATTTCCTTATATCATAACAAATTATGGGCAGTCAATATATGCATGGGGAAGATGTTCATATGGTAGCTAATGTCACTGAGATTTTGTTGTGTTTTGTTTTCCCTCACTTTCTAGCTTAAACTCAATTCAAAGCACTCTAAACTTCCTATTGAAACTGGCCTGGGCAGAACAGGTTCTGCCTGGAAACAAGGGGTGGGATGTGAGGGGGAGGGGGCAAGGGGCAGAGGGAAGAGATGGCCCAAACAATGTATACACATATGAATAAACAAATAAACAATTTTAAAAAAGAAACTGGCCTGGGTGTAGTCATGCATGCTTATAATCCCAGCACTCATAAAGCTGATGAAGAAGGATCACAAGTTTAAGGCCAGCTTGTGCTACATAGCAAGGCTGTCTCAAAAAAGAAAGAAAGAAAGAAAGAAACTGACTTTCTGTAGAAATGGTGGTATTCTTGACAATCTATCCAGATAACATTTCTTCCAATTTTTTTTGTATTTATTATTTTGAGGTTTTTACTGTTTGGGAAAAGGATAAGAGTTGATTTGCAATTTATTTTTTCAAATTTCTCTTCAGGCTGAATTTATAAAAGTCAAAGTAATTTAAGAGGGTGAAAACGAGTTAATGAAGCAATATACTCACAATTACAGTTATATTGCAGTTGAATGAGCTATTTTCCCTTGTTTCAATTTGACTTTCACTGGTACTTTTTCTTCTTTAATAAAAGGCAAGTGATAAAAAAGCAAGCTCATTGTTTTAATAGAATAACAACAAAATGGCAGACCTAAACTTTACATATCCATTTTCAGTGATGATTTGTGTCTATTTTTGTTTTATTCAAATTGACCCACCCCAAACTTTGTGTCGAGAACGTTAAATGTGATAAGAAATCAGTTGTCATGAAATCACAGATAATATATGTGACATATGCTGATCCACTTTTTTTCTTGATAGACAATGAGACAGCTGGGAAGTCTGCAGGGATTAAATGCACTTTCTCAGGTAATTATATTTTCAAGTATTTCTTATTGCAAGTAGTAATAGTGGTAACTGTGATAGCAGCAGCATTATAATTCATAAAATTTATGAATAGACAATATCCTAAATATTGACAGAGCAAATAAGTAATAAGCCTAAAGCAAAACAAAGTATGCAAGCAGAGAAAAATAAGAACAATTTTGACCAGCACTCAGAAAGCTAATGTAGGAGGATTGTGAGTTTGAGGCTAGTCTGGGCTACATAATGAGTACAAGGCAGCCTAAGCCACAATAGCAAGGCTATCTCAAAAAAACAAAAATAAAATAAAAAACAATATTGAATTTTCTTTAGGTAAAAAAAAAA